CCAGTTAAACAAGACAAAATAATGCTAAAAAATTCGGTTTCGACGAAAAATAGTCCGGATCATGAAGCATCCGGTTAACTGGCGACCGGATATCTGAAGGTCCACCGTTTAACCATGAGTGAAGGGGTTGGTCCAATACCGCTAAAATTAATATTCAAAAATCTTCTTTTCTTGTGGACACAAGCAGTCAAACTATTGGTATGATCGTTATAAGCATCGAGTCTTCCAAATTATGAAAATCAAGGCCTCAGGGTCAGGGGTTCTAGTGCTAGCACAGGGCTATATAGATAATATAGTAAAATTCATCATTTCTTTGAAAATCCTCATCTCTGCTCTTAGGTTTTAAATAAACTAACCATGTACATAGTTATGTTGAACAAGACTGCCTCTTCCAAAATTGTGGAATTCATGGCCCCTGGGTCAGCGGCTGTGGTGCTAGGGCGGAGCTCTATTGAGTGTATAGTGAAAACGAACAAATTCTTTGAAAATATTCACTGATCCTGGGTATTAAACAAAATAAGTACATGAGTGTCTCTTCCAGAACTGTGATTTACATGGTCCCAGGATCAAGGTACGTTCTGGATGGGGCTCTATTGATAGTGAAAATGCATTAAATCTTTGAAAATCTTCTCTGCTCCTGGTTATTAAATAAACTAAGTACCTATAGCTATGATGAGCATGGATGCCTCTTCCAAAATTGTGATTTTTATGCCCCAGACTCTGGGGTTCTGGTGTATTGGCACGGCTCTATTGATAAAATAGTGAAAATCTTATTTGATCCTGGTTACACAACTGTAAAAATCTAAGTTCAAAGTTATGATGAGCATTACTGCCTCTTCCAATTGTGAATTTTATGACCCCTGGGTCAGGAGGTCTGGTATTGGGATGGGGTTCTATTGATGATATACCGAATATGAGCAGAATTTTTAGCGAAGATTTAATTTAGGTATTATATAGCGAGGGTGCTGAGATCGCTATAATTGAATATCAATAAAAATTAATTAGGTTTTATTTATAATAATTAGGTTTTATTTATAATATGTTCTTAACTGAGCTTTTTAAAATCGATAAAATTACATCTCGCTTAAAATAAAATACCAACTTTAAGGACAAATCGCTAAATTTGCGTCCCGTTAACATTTCCTCTTATATGGTAGTAAAAATGCATCAAATATTTTAAAAATATTCTATGCTCCAGGTTATTTTTCAATAAAAGGAAGTACATGGTTATGATAAGCAAGAATGCTACTTTTCAAAAATAGAACGCTACTTTGCTTCGCTCAGTAGTATGCAAATTAAATAGAGCCCTGGCCAGGACCAGGACACTTAACTTAATTAATGGTCCAGATATTCAGAATTCCGGTAAAAATACCCTTGCTTATTAAAACTTTGTATGCCTCCAATATGCACAGGAGCAAAGATTTAAAAAAAAAAATACAATGTAATTATAATGCATTTTACTGCCGATTAAACACAACCCTTCCCTAATACCAGAACGCGGGGTCATGAAATTTGCAAATTTGGAAGATGTGCACTCAACATCATACTTATCCGGTTAGAAGATCATCTTACTCATGTGATCCTTTCACAGACCAGAGCTCCAATAATATATCGTTTTCTATGTTTTGTAAAAGAATAAGATGGTTTATTGGGGATATGAAAAAAATGCTTAAATTGAGGTTAAATATCACATTAAGGTTTCATCAAAGGTCACCATCTCGAAAAATTTATTTTTACAATATACCCCCAAAACTATGTGGTTTATAAAGTTGAAACTTTTACATTTATAAATATTATATCATTGATTAACAGATAGAAAGTACCACTTGATAACAAATGCTTAATAAAATATTTGTCGAGAAAAATTCTTTTAAAAAAGATGCATATATATTTTTTTAAATACACGTAATTAATTCCATACTGTTAGTGAAGTGCATCATTGCAAAAAATATATGTTTATCAATGGCAAGTCGTTTTCCCTGTTTATTTTGTCCTAATGTGAAGATTTGAAATGGAAAGTACATTGCAAATGGCGGATTTTATAGGGGTCTTGTATTTTATACACGCTATGTTTTCAATAAGAGCCTTTAAAAGACCATTCACGTCCAACACTCTTCAATGATAAACATATATATTATCATTATTTCTGCAATGATGGTTTTCACTAATATTACAGAAGTTAGCTGGTGCATTTAAAAAAATATGTACATTTTTTGACATATTTTTTCTCGATAAATATTTTTTTTAACTGTTTGTTTTCAAGTGAAACTTTCAATCTGTTAAGGACATACGCAACATACCTTACCTACTGATGATTTTTGAAGATATTCTAAATTTAAACTTATAATATCATTACATGTTCTTAGACAATAAATCAGCATGCATTACCAGGGGCTTTGAAAAGATATGGAATTTTGAAAGTTTTTGCATTATTCAAATAAAAATGTACAAAAATTATAAAACATGAATTCCAGATTTTTTTCTCATCAAAAATTGTTTTAGAAGAGGTGTTCAAAACCATATATAGACATTAAAAATATTGCACAAAGGTCCTTCATTTAGTGGAACTCTTCAACTCTAGGGAAGAATCCAAAAAAGTTCAAACCACGTTGCGTATGACCTTAAACAATGATATATTGATAAACTGTTATTAAGTTTCAACTTTATACCTCATATTGTATTGGAGCTATTGTAAAAAAAAAATTTTGACATGTTGACCTTTAATGAAACCTTAAACATTCAAACTGTCTAATCCATGAAAATGCACGCATAACATGTAGTATTGTTTCTGATATTACTATTTGATTAAAGAGTTAACTGTATATATTAATAGGCAACATAATTAAGTCTACTACACATGCAACATTTTATGTTAACATAATGCAAATAATTATGCTGACATGCAATTTACCAACCTTATTAGAAAATATAACTTGAATATTGGTAAATCTACCTAAAAACAACTGCATTTGACATCATACATATGTACATACAAGATATACTATTCTTAAAAAAAGTAGGGATACTTAATTTACATGGACAATGAACTGCAGATCATAAGGTTAGGAGGAAAACAAATGACAGAAAAACATAAAGAGACATGGAGACAGTTTCAATTGAATTTTTAAAACAAATTGTAATGTTTACAATTCCTAGCTATATGGCATCATGTAATGATCAGCAAAAATTCTGAACATCATTTGTTTATTAACAAACGAGATAGAAAACTTAAAGTTTATGTAAACATAAACAAGGCACCAGTCTTATTTATTTATGTTTACATATAGAAAATATCATATTTACAATATAACGAAATTCAGCAAATCACTAGAAACTGTCTATTCGCATTTACAATTAACTTTTTATTGAAATTATCTGTTTTGGAGGAACATATATTGGTATATTAACATATGTAAACAAAACCATGACACGGACCTAGTTTATTAAACAAAGATATCGAGCTCTAAATCTGTATTGTATCTCGAAAACTGAAGTTCAAATTATTTATAATCATTAGAAACGACCTTAGTTAACTAATTGTAAAAAGGGAAAAAGAAATTTAAATATTCTAGCTGAAACTGTGTCTATGTCCATTTAAGGAAATATTTGTCAATTCATTCGAAACCCTGTGTACAGTCATAAAAAGACGATGAGAGATTCTTAAGAATAAGGGTCGATACCAACACGTTCCTGATAGTCGCTACCAAGCCAATATTCCTTGGAAGTTGAGACCTTATCTGATTTGCTGTTATTTACCAGTCAATTTCGCAAGGCAATAGTGTGGAGAAATTTGTCCTGAGTCTGAGTTGTTGCCCTTGGTCGATCAGATCGTGGTCTATCCTGAACAGACCCTGTAGCACGATGTCTGGATCATTATCTGTTGATGACAGACTGAAAAATAATCATTACCCTTGCCACAGCGACTTGTCTTGTGCCAACCTGTAGCATACCGAGGGCACGTGTCCTCTCATCCTGTGTTAGACGGCGCATGATCTCCGTTTAATTTACCACTTCACAACTTATAATTAATCTGATGCCTTTCTCTTAAGAATCTATTTAGAGTGGCTTTAACCTTTCAATTCAGAGGAAATTTGTGGCACAACACCTTTGATCATCAGTAGCATCCCATTGCAGATCCGGAGAGTGTGATTGGTGTGTTTGGAAATTGATTCTGATTTCTTTGGAAATGCTTCCTCGTTTAGATAATATACAATATAGTTTCGTATCCCTTTGTTTAAATGAACATTTTGATCATAAAGTGAAACAACAGTAGCCCCTACTTTTTCAAATAATATACAACATGATGTTGACATGTAACTTATTTATGTTGCATGCAAGATAATTATGATAATGTCGACGTGCAGCTCTGAATATGTCAACATGCGAGATATGTATGTTAATTGACATGCACCTTATTATCTTGCATGTTGACATATATAAGTTGCATGTTAACTAACATAATTATCTTACATGTTGACATAAATATGTGGCATGTCTACATAATTATGTTACATGTTAGAATAATTAAGTCACATGTCAACATAAGTATGTTTCATCTTGCATGTACATGTATGATTTCAGAAACCGGCATAAGTAAGTAATTTTTCCCATTTTATAATCATATTCTTTTTATGTTTAATTTGTCATGTTAACATAATTTTCTTGCATGTAGACATAATCATCTTGCATGTTGACATATTGATTTTGCATGTTGACATACAGTAAATTTATCTTGCATGTAGGGGGATATGCCATCATATAATAGATTGAGGTTGTACAACATTGATAATATGATTCAAATAGATTTGATGAATGTTCTACAGTCCTATCTTTATCTATAAAATACGTGTATTTCTTTTCAGATGACCATTGTGAGGTTATATTTGACCATATGGATGGAAAGAATACAATAAAACACCAAGAATGAGTACACACATGTATATACAATAAAATATACATGTATTTATTTCATATACGTGTTTACAACTTAAAAAAAAAGACAACCACCGACGATTGAAGAACAAGGTAATGGTGTGTTCATGTTGTTGAGTAAGCAGGTAAATGATGGCTGAGACGATAAATAGTGAAGAAAGGACAGGCGAGGAGGAAAATGTAAGTTTATATATTTTGATAAGACAAAAAAGCACAGGGAAATCATACAATTTTTTTTAAAGATAAGATAATATCTTAAACATATACTTAAATGCTGAAGACATTTAAAATCAGTTTCATGTAACAAAAGAAATGATACATTAAGGTTAGGGCTACAAATTTACGTCTATACCAGCCCCTACGTTCCGATGATAACAGCATACTAGTTCTGGCGTAGATGTACAAAACACACTCTTTATTAATCATAAGTAATAGACTTCTCAGTATGATACGGATCTGTATTATACAAATTGTAATTTATGATAAAAGTTGGTATTTCATCAATAGGATGTTAAAAGAGAACCATTGAAGACAAACATTTCTTCTGCTAAAAGCAACATTTCTGATGACGCAAGTATTAAGTCCGACATAAGTGAGCATCACTCTCAACACAGAGACCGACCTTTGACCTCTGGTGAGTAAAATCTTTGCCCTCTTTTAAACTTTTCTTGGAAATTTTAAAATTCTTTCCTTACATATTCGATGAATTTTTAAATTTTATATGAAATATGTTTTCTTTCACCGTATAGAAATAATTGTTTAGGAATATTTAACTTCTTATTCTTACATTTTTACAGCAATGAAATGTATTGATTAAAACTATAAAACTATTTCTTTGTTTACCGATCATTAGTGTAATAAATCACCTATGTCCCTTTTTTGAGATTTTGTTGACAGATATGCAATTGGTTTGGTTTTTTTGTTGATATAATGTTGAAGTTTTCTTTGAAATTTTGTCATATTTACTCATATATCAGAGATGATTATATTTCTGACAGATCCGTTATCAGATTTAACAGACAATCAGCGTGTCGTTCTCTACACCATGTTTCTGTATGGAGAAGAAAATGTTGTTTTGCATGATGACATCTTTATGGGAGACGTTGATGTCTGGAAGACGCTAAAAGAGCTGGAGGACAGGGAATTGGTGGGACTGTTGGTTGAAAACAAAGAAGAACTCCTATCTGTGTATTTTATCCCAAGTTACACACGATGGGAGATAATGGAATCTTATAGAGAGAACTGTTTGCTAAGTGATATAGACAAAGAGTTTTTCGTGGATGTGGTCTACATCCCTTTATATTATATTGAAACAGAGTCCAATATCTTAAACCTTGATGTGTCAAGTCCACAAGACAAGAGATCTCTAATGCTAATGAGATTGGTAATGGAGGGGAAGATTGACAGAGAAATACAACTTATCGGAGGTACATGTATGTATCCTTCACTTATTTTAGTGAAGCTAGATTTAAGAGCCATTCTCTGTAATGATTTGAAATTTTATATAGGAGCTGTGGCATGCATAGTCTCAGAATTTCTCCAAACTCTCTATGATAAAAGTCACTGATACCCTAAACTGAAATCAGACAAAAATTGGTTGCTATGTTTTATAGTTACCATGGCAACATGTCTTAAAGTTCGAAAAATGGCATTTTTAAACATATTTAGAGACCCATAGTTAACAATTGCGGCAAAGCAAACAATTGGCAATGACTGTTTCCAAAAGTTGAAGGTCAGATGTCTCAAATGTATGATAAACATGTTTGGTAAATCAACTATTACATACATTACTATGGTAACAAATTATTCAAAAGTAAAAAAAAATCATTGAATTTTATAAAGTCATACACGCAAAGATAAAAAGCAGTTATAGGATGAAGTGTGACCAAATAATAGAAAAAAGAGCCTTGAAACATATACCAAGAACAAAATATGATATTTCATTTTGGTTGGCAATAGTTGCCAAGGTTTTTATACCACAGAGAGCCTTCAAAGTAACACTATGTATGTTTAAGTCTGATCCTATCTTTTAAAAAAAGCACATTTCCTCATAATTAATGATCAAATTTATAAGATGTTGGTGTGCTCCAAGTTTTTCCATTTGAAAAAATTCAGATAAGATTCCTTAAATAGAGCGTTGCTATGGAAATAAGCAGAAAATATATGCTTAAAAACCTGAAAAATATTTTCTTTCCTTGGATACGTACCCTTAAATGTAGAATCCCAAAACTTTTATGATAGATATTTATTAACAGCTAACTTGACTTTTAATTTTGACTATCATCCAATCTCTAAGTGGATGCAAGAAGTTGGCACACAGGGTTTAATATTGATATAAAGTAGACAAAATCAAACATTTTCCCTTCTTGGTAACCCTAGCAATAGTGTTGTTTTATTCATCAAATTTTATGAATATATGATATTCAACTTCAGTTCTAACAGATAAGTACAATTTAAGCTTAGTCCTTTTATTTGTTTCTTGATTAAATGGCAATTTAATTCTTAATGCAGCGAAAAATAATTCACTTTTAAGCACTGGTACTTTGTTTCCATGGTAACACTATCAAGTAGCAATTATACCGAATTTTCTTATGGTTTTGGTGTTGCAAGGTCCTACGGATGCATATTTGCCAGTCTTGAATTTTCATGTTTTTCCTCAAGACAGTAGCATTAACCCAATCTTAGTTACTGGTTTTGCATGGTTACACTGTGTTACCATGGCAACCATAAAAGTTATTTATAGAATAATATTGCTTATACTTATATACTTAAGGTCAAACATTTTCATTGTTTTTCTTAAGTCGTTGATTGAGTTTGAGCATGTAACACCTACCATTAGTAAATACGGAGTGTTTTTCAGCATATTTCAGCATTTTAGATGTATTCCAAATGTACCCTTTGTTACCACTTACTTAGAGATATATTCTAAACAGTTTCTTTACAGTATAAGTGACATCAAGGTGTCATGATTTTGTGAGAATGGTTTGGTTGCTTTTTCTAGTTTTTATTAAGCCACAGTCAAGATTTAAAGTGGCTGAAAATCTCGATTTTTCAAACTTTTCCGGCTGTTGCCATAGCAACCGAGACACATAGCAACGAAATTTTGTTTGATATTTGTTTCTAGTGTCAAGTACTAAGCATGGGTGAAGTTTCATCAAAATAAATCGGTGACCGTGCGTGCATGGCAACGAAGTTTAAGTGGTTACAGAGAATGCCTATTAAAATAAAGTATTTACATGAATATGTAATTCTGCAGCACATTTATGATTTGATTCTTTTAGACACATTTTTTAATGTCTACAATACATTTATAATTAAACTCCATAAATCCTGCTGGAAGAAGAAGCACCGTTCCTAAATCCTATGCAGATGTTTTAAAGAGTATATCATATTTATATTTTCTTATCAAACTCTATTTTTGAAAAAATAAATGCCTAAAGCTCGTTAATATATCGAACATCATACCAACCAGTTGGATAACGCAAATATGAAAATCACATCTTAAACGTGGGTGTTCTGATTTTCTCATTCAATTAAGCCCTAATAAATATTCTAGACAACTCCTTGAAAATTGCACAAAGACTTATAAGTTTTCTATCGGAATCGAAAACACAAAATCTATGATGAATTTGTAAAATGGTTTTCCCTAGCATGTTTCATAATTAGAATTTATTTTGTTTTGTTTTCACACGTCACCACCCAACTATTGTAATTCCAATGGGTGCCAATTGTGCTCCGGTATTAGCAAACCTATTCTTGTATTCATATGAAGCAGAATTTGTGCAAAACCTTATGTGTGAAAAGAAGAAAACTCTTACTGTGGCCTTCAACTCGACATTTAGATATATCGAGGGCGTATTGTCAATTAACAATGGTAATTTCCATTCATTTGCCGATACGATATATCCTGGTGAGCTTGAAATAAAAGATACCACAGAGTCTGACAAATCTGCTTTATACTTCAATATTTAACTTGAAAAAGACGTTAATGATAATCTAACAACCAAACTCTATGATAAACGTGATTACTTTAACTTTTATACCGTTAACGTCCCTTACATATGCAACTTAATACCTTCATCACGTGCATACGGAGTTTATATCTCTAAGTTGATTCGATATGCAAGAGCATGCTCTACGTATGAACAATATCTAAAACGAGGTAAATTATTGACAAACAAGTTGATGAAACAAAAGTATCAGCAGTCTCGTTTAAAGTCATTATTTCGTTATATTGTCGATACAATGACCTTGTCAGCAAAAACAGTTTATCATTGAGTCTAATGCTGACTGACGTTTTTCATACTAATTGTTAGTCCATTATTTATACACTGAATTGAAGACGGATTTTTCCGTTATTTACCGATCATGACATGGAGCACACGGCGGTGTGACCCGGGGACGGGGATGCTCACCCTCAATGGACCGACCACCTCAG